AGCACAATAGAACTGTCCTGAAAATTCAATTTGGCCCTCGCGTCTCTTAAAAACTCCATACCTAAAATAAGAGGATTTTGCAGATGTTTTACCACAAAAATTAATACCTTGAGGCTTTCCTCTTTTACCTGTATGTTTAATGATACTGTCCCGATGCAGTGACAGGTTTTTCCTTGCGCCGCTATAATTTCTGTGTTTTTGTTTTTTAAATAATCGTAACCTATAAAAATTCTTTTTGAAGAATGTCTCACTCATAAAATTACCTTCTGCTCCTGTATCGATGAGGGCTTCTACTGGTACATCACCAACCAGGACTTGTATAATTGGTAGATGTGAGTTCTTTACGATGACCGTATTTAAATGTCTTTTTGAGGGTTTTTTTAAAACTTCCGGGGTCTGGACCCTCGCTTTCACAGGCCCCTCTACTCGTTTAAAGCTTTCCTTTCAACTTCTGCCTTCTGGGTACGCGGACGTTTGTTTTCAAATTTCCTTTTTGGGCCTTGACCTTCGAGGTTCGATGAGTTAGCTTGAAAGCTCTTTTCCCCATAAGAGCGGTTTGCATTTCTGGTCTGCTCATTTGAAGATTGCCTTCGGGTACTTTGAGAATAGGATGCCCCTCTAGCTTTTTCCGCTATTCTGCGATTTTGAAACTTCACCGCCAATTTAAAGAGCTCCTGCAATGTGCTTGGGTTTCAAATTTCGAAGTAGTCTTGAACAGCAGGTAACAATCTTGGTAAGATTATTTCAATAATCTCCGCGTCGGGTTTCTTCCCATACAGCATATCCGTCAGCTTAATTTTTCGCAGAATAATGTCCGTTAATTCTTCTATATCCCGTTGATAGAAACTATACAGTTCGGCTTCTAGCCTTGCTCGTTCTTTCACTATGGGGAAGGCCTTTAATAACGATTTTTTGAAATTTTCAAATGTATATGTCTGGCCTCCAAATTCCCTTAATAAAAATTTGCCTATATTCTTCCACCATAGCGCGGCCTGTCCTCTTAGTGCAGATGTGGCGATGGCAACTTTTTGTCTTTCAGGCACAGGGTAGAGCTGAAAGTGGTTGTCGAGGTTTTCTAGAAATATCGCCACCGAATTTTTTCCGTCGAAATTGACGTTTGGCTTGATTGACGCTCTCAACGTCTGGACCAGGTATCCAAATCCTTCCAGTTGGCTTGCCATTTCTTGTTGTTGTCCCGTGGCTTCCATCCGTTTTTCGGCCATTTCAGTTCGACAAGTGTTCGGGCGCCAATGTAGAGTTGCGAACCTCCAACCTGCACGCAACCAAGTGGGGAAAGCTGAAACTGGAAATTAGACAGAGTCCTGCGAAGGGTTTAAGTCCCTTTTTATTCAACTTTAGAAATTACAAATGCGTGCTCTTGACGCTCACAAACTACGCCGACCCGGCGGTTAAAATAAAAAATAAGAACCTGAAAAGAAATAATAACAAGAGACTAACTACGAGGCTCTCTAACGTAACTAACCTCACCGCGTTTTACAATACCGCTGCTAATTCAGCAAACTTTGAATATCACGTTGAACGATTCACAATTGGCCGAGACAAGCACACAGGCCGAAATGCGTGGTTCTTCAATTTCTGGCTAACTACCTCCGCGCTCGTGAAGTAAGAGCAGCACGCTTCGAACTCGTTTCCTTTCTATTTAACTCAGAATACTTCCGCTGATAATTTGAATCCTTGCGCGTTCTACTAAAAATTTACATACTCTGGCATTGGCAGTTCCAGGGGAAAGTAAGTCTTGACAGGAAAGATAGTTTAAACTTAAAATAAATGTTAGTTAAAATAAATATAAACCCTACACAGTAATCCTGTAAACGCTCGCTCAGTTTTTTTATTGCTGTAGTAAGTCATCGCTTGAAAGATGGCACGCATGTGATTAAGGTTTTAAAATAAAATATTAATTAGTACAGTCCACATCTAGTTAATTTGGAATTGTTGTATAACAACGCACGCATTGCCGGATCACATGTAAATATCAGTTCAGCATTGAAGATTTTACGCATAATGGTTCAAAATTGTAACTGTAAAGATATCCCTAACGCTCTCTGAAACAATATCGAATGATCTTTCCACGTTCTCGCATAACACTTAGCCAGTGCTTAAATTGCGCCGGAGCCTACCGAAGCCCGGCTTCGGTGCTTATCAATTTTTAAAATAAATTACAATTTTAGCCGGAGCGCACCGGAGCCCTAAATAAGATGAGCTTCGGTACTTCTTTTTATAAAACTGATTCACAATTTAAAGGGAATAAAATATAGTGGAATTCCTAACGTTTTAGTTTAAGCAAGACCTTGCAATACTCTATTTCCCTAGAAATACGAACTCATGAGAACGTGAGACGTTCAAGTAAAGTCCCCTCACTCACATGCGAAAACCTTACCCTTTAAGAAGGGCAATAAATTTAGGGGAGTTTCTTTAGAAATGCGTAAATTTCTCGCCATGCCATCGTATCTAGTGTATTGTTATCGATGGTATTAGTTATCCTTGCAGGAAGGAAAATTTAAGTTCTTAAATGTGCGTTAAGTGACAACGAGTACAATAAGAGTGAAATACTGAGATAAACTGCTCAAGTACGTCCTATACATCGTCTTTCCCATAGTATCCACTAATGTAACCAAATACAGGGGGGGTGAAAAGCGTAACTCCCCCAAATTTATTGGAGCAACTTTAGATTTATCCTTAGGAGTCAGATTCGGGACTCATTTTACCCCTGACACACATCCGGTTGATGATGTCGTGTCTATGGCAAAGACAGCTTTTGCAACCTCGGCAGCTCTATCAGTATAAAGTAGGTCCACTGGGTCCTCAATGTCGATGCTAAACAGTCTGGCCTGGATTGCTGGGCAGCTGAAGATGGGATGGCGAGACAGTGGGATGTCATCTAGGCAATGAGGACAAATGTTGGTGTAACTACGCTGACCGTCTGCAGACGGACAGCGCAGTCATCCCTTTTAAGTGATTTGCCCTAAGTCTGGTTATGATAGTCGATATGGCTCTGTCACAGTTCAATTCTGGGATGGAGTTTCCTTTAATTTGACCGATTAGTCTTTGGCTGGCAACTGCATTGGCATCAACGAGGGTTAGGCAGTTAGATGGCTGAGGAGAATCACGGGATGCCTTTGCAAGCTCATCGGCCTTCTCATTACCAAAAATATTTCATACATCCGGTTGATGACTATAATTATATCAGCAGAAAGCCCGCGGTCACACAGAACGTTCTCTCTCACCAAGATTCCCCTCATTTTTTTTGTTTCCACCCACTCATACCCTTACGTCTTCCTTCTGTTTCCCCCTGTTTTTAGATTATCTGAATTTTCATGAGCTATAGTTTAAGTATATTTAATTTTTGTGATCATAAAAGAACTTTTTTACCCTCTACGATCAGAGCTTAAATTAGGCCGGAGCCCGGTGCTTCTTAGTTTTTGTAATAAATCATAATTCTAGCTGGAGCGCACCGGAGCCCTAAATAAGAAGGCTGCGGCACTTCTTTTATGTAATTGAATAACAATTTCAGTAGAAATTTTATCTCGAATATTTTATTTTTAGCAATAAAATTATATTAAAAATCGCTTTTTTTAAATTTTAATTGATTTCTTTATATTTAAATTAATTTTAATTATTTAATTATTTCAATAAATAATAATTAATTAACGATCTAATAACGAACAATTAAATTATAATTAATTAATTAATAATAATAATTATTGATTAAATAACAATTAATGAATATTAATTAAATAGCTATTAATTAATTTGATAGTAATTAACTATTTAATTAAAAATTATTATTAATAGTCATTTTATTTATTTATTTACTCTTGTTCCTTTTTGTTGACGGTCTTCCATAGGGCTCCGGCACCTCTAATTTTAGAAATTAAGTCCTGCACTTAGATAAATATTTATTAATAATATTAGTCAAATTGATCATTTGAATTATATTTAGCGGAGAGCCAATCATTGCTCTTGAGAAATTTTTCGTTGAATGCACTGACTCGTTATTGTTTCCAGACTCCACAGTCGGCTATTGAAAGCATTCAACGCTTTCTTGGCTATTGAAAGCTTTCAGCGATCTGTCCTCCTAAATTGCTTGAAACAGTGAAGGGGGAATATTTACATCCAAAACCTGTTCAGGTCTGCAGAGAATCCACAAAACAGGCGTGAAAAAATTCACCAAATTTCCTACTTGGCGAAAGATGCAATGACGTTTCCGAAACCTTTAGGTTTGCAAAGTATTTGTGTGTGTATAAGTGGATGTATATGCACATTTTGTGCTGTAGAAATTACATTTTGATGAATCAATCGTGTCATTGTGAATCTGTAAATGTTACTTCATTTCCTAATTAAAAAAAAATTACAATTTTAATGCTGAAAAATTAAATGTTTCCCCAAAATAAAACTTGACTATCCTCCCAAATGGAGTCGTGCAGCCCTCTATTTTTCATCAATCGAAAAAGCACTAAAAAAACAAAAGTGATATTCAGCAAATATTTATTAATAATATGATAAAGTATGCCATTTTTTAATTCAGCATAATTTTGAGGATGTATTCTAGGTAGCAGCAGACTTTCTCAGTACTTGACTGCATTTTTTTATGTAATCATACACGGCTAAATTTGCTTATGTTGAAAAAATAGGCAGACATTCGTCAACAAACCGCCTTAATCCAAGGCAACTAGTTAGCCTTGCTTAATCCAAAGAAGTACTTTGGAACTGTCCATTTTGAAATTTATAAGCTGAAGAGGCATTTGCTTTCTGACTTTGCATTATTTTACAAAACTTTTGGAAGCTTTATAAATTTTACATAATTAACAAAAAATTCTCTCTTCTTTTTACATTTTTGTTTAGTTATTTAATTTTTTTTTGGTATGACCCAACAGATAAACTTTGAGAGACTTAGGCAGAAATCTGACCAATCGGCATAAGGATTTTATTTGACGTCATATCCGTTATCATTTAATTTCATTTCGTACCGCTTTACAACCATGTTTCCCGAGAAGTTGACATGTTTGAATGAGCGTAATAAATACCCAAACAAAACTATCTAAAATGGCGGCAACCAGTGTGATGAATGGCGTGAGTTCGATGCCGACTTCATTGTCGGAAATTGAACAGATTTATAGAAAATTAGAGCAGGGAACTGACCTTTTGAAACTATACTTGAAAAGAAAACCAGAAAGACGAACTTTTTGTGTGAAACTTGAAACTCGGCAGATAATTTGGTTACGACATGTAGCTGGACGTAATATTATTGAAGGAGCTGGTATGTTTAAATATTAAATTCATGGTTTGTAGAGCTTAAAACACATGAATATTTTTCTGAATAAAAATAACGTCAGAGTGCTTGTACTTGAGGGTAAATAGATTTTTCAGAACAACACGAACATAAGAGATTTGTTGTATTTATATCTTGGTCGCTTGTCAGTTACACGAAATAAGTCAATAAATTAAAAAATACTAAACCAAAGAACGTTTCAGTCGTACACTTATTTTGCGGTGATGTATTTAATAAGGCTGTAACGATGTTAGAACGTGGAATATCACTGTAAAATATGGGTGCAGTTTCCTTATTTAATGTTACACATCTGCTGAAAAAGTTAAATGAAATCGGATTTGATAAATTACTGATTTGTAAAATATTTAAAACATAAATTTATGTGAAAAGTAAAGATTTTGTAGGAAGCAATGTTAAATAAACTATATTAAACTGTCTTTTATGAAAAAGCACTTATATGGGACTTCAGACTCCAGTGCATTTCATTGTCACGAAATGTTGCCTTAGATGGCTTGTTTGCTAATGAGAAAAGTTGCATATTAAATCTGTTTTCCAGTATTAAGGATGTAACAGGAACTTTTAATTCTTTTCCTATTTTTAATGAAGGATCTGTTAAGTATATGATTGATTTTGTTCAGGTATTTGTACCAAAAGAAAGCAGCATGGTTTTTGATAGTTAATTTGCAGAATTGTTAAATTAATTATGTAACTGCAATATATAAAAACGGGGGGGGGTACAAGTTATTTAGATTCTAGAAATGTGTTATCATGTTGATATAAATTATTGTTAGTTGGCATAAAATTTGGTTTCTCAGTGAAACTTTAATTATAAATATGATTTTCACTACATTGTAAAGTATTTAGATGTTTAATAATAATTTTTCTGTGAGAAAGGGCAGAGATGTAATTAATTCTAAAGATTGCTGCAGAATAGCAATTTTTTTATAAAATAGAAATATGTGATGGTTAAATCACCTATTAAGCTAAAAATGAAAATTACTTCAAACTAAGTCTTTAATTACCAGAAACATGATTAATAGTAAGGTTATGTAAAATTAAGCATAAAAGCAATCTTAAATTGCTTAGATTTTAAATAAAATTATCAATTTCAATGACTTCTAAAGAAGGACTGACATGTGTCCTTCTTTAGTTCTTAAAAATAAAGTACTGATGAAATGGTTGACCAAAAAAAAAAAAAAAAAAAAAGTTTAAAGAAAGATATTTTTAAGTAATATTTATGCACTTTCTTTGCATCATTCTTATTTTCCAGAAAAACTTACAAACTAACTTTATTTAGGAAACACTAACTTTATTTGTGCTGATGCCAGCATTACTCTTTTTTTAATCTGTTGATACATTTTGTCTTTCTAATTTTTGATCATTATGTACATCTGACACATCTGTCGTGAAAGCTTAGTAGCCAAACGAAAAGTTGTACAATAATCCATTGCTTGATCGCTACAAATTTCAGGCAATAATGTGAAATTTTACTACTGTAAATGTTTATTTTTAAAGGTCTGTTATTTTATTTTCTGAAAAGTATCCTCTGCCTACTGACTCCATTTCAAACTTCATTTTAAATTTATTTTCTATACACAGTTTAGGTAATCCAATGGAAAGTTATACTATGTAACCATTAGGCTGATAATAATTTATTTTAAACTTTCTTATGAAGTATTTTACTTAGAAATTCAAGACATGATGATAAGTCATTTGACTGCCTTTATGGGTCCAGCAGTTAGAATATAGTGGATCCATTCAGCTATTTGGCCAGAGCTTAGGAGCTAAACTATTGTGCAGACATTGCCATGTTACAAAAGGTCTCCACATCGAACATCTGTGCATGTCCATAGGAATATGAAGAGTTACACTTTCGTGTTATATTTGCATTTGCGAAATGAATTCATAATAATAGTGACAGATATGTTTTCTTTCTGTAACATTAATTTTGAGTTGCCATGCATTTAAAAAAAACCACTCAAAATTAAAGAGCTAGGTTGAAGAGTTTGGCTGGTAGAGGGATGGAATATGTGCTCGACGGAGCATTTATATAGCCCAGCATGAACTACTAGATTTATTAGTAATAGGTTATGTATGGCCAGAATTATCATAACGGTTCAAGAGGTAGTTTCGAGAATTTTCAATGATGCCCATGAACTTCATTATCTTTCGAGAATTTTTAGTGATGCACTGTGTACTGATTACTAAAAAATTCTGACAGATTCTGTTAGATGTCGCACTGAAATACCGTATCAGTCAAGGCTGTCATGAGAGATACTGATTATTCAAATACCACTGAAATTGCAACCATATTCTTTTTTTTTTTTTTTTGTGAATTCTTCTATTCTGGGCAACAGTAAAAAAGTTAAGTTATTCCAAATTTTTGGGAAAAAATGTTTAACGATTTCTTAGGTTAGCATCCAAAGATTCGAATGATCTCAGTATGTTGGTCCTTATGTCAATTGTGTGGAGAAACAAAATTACTTTTAAGCAAAAGCCTAAACAAGTTAACAGCTTATTTTTAAATAAATGTTCTCTGTCAAATAACAGTTTCTCTGCAGTGCATGTTGATGTGTATAATTTAATTTATCCTTTCTAAAAGAATGCTCGGGAGTGAAAAAAAAACTCTCAATTTTCTTTTCAATAATGATTTGTAATTTACTCAAATAAAATTTTTTATGCAATTGCAGACCAATGAATATGCTTCCAATTCATTTTACTTCTACTGAAATAAAATAACAATAATTATAAATGGAGAGGTATAAAGAAAATCCAAAGAAAATATGTAGTTTCTCTACCTGAAGAAAAAATATTCAGTTGCCCAGTACAGAGTTACAAATATTTTTTTCTTGGAACTTAACTTTTCTAAACACAAAATAGTAGATATAAGATGTATTTATTCATATTTATATGTAATCATGTTAATCACACATTCATTAATTTACTTCAAAAGTTTGTTTATGTTCAAAATATGTATCATTTTTGAAACGATATCAGTTTGGACTTGTGCTCTCGAACATTCATAAAATGTATCATGTGGCTCCCATCATCTTCAAGTTTGGCCATTCCTGTCATATACCATCAATTCAGATTTTTTAGGAATTTTATGCACCTTCTAACCCCCATTATAAATTTTCAATGGAATCCTATAATTTGAATATCGCTGTTCTAAGGGATTAGTAGTAACACACAATGTGAAATATATATATATTTGTAATGGTTGTGAAGTAATAATTAACAGTAATAATATACATGTAATTCATATATAATTTTTAATTATGCAAGTTTTTCCTTTATGTACTTCCTCAGAATGCATATACTTTGTTTAATTTCTTCTATTCAATTTTCATGTTGTGGCATAGAGAAAAAGAGGGAGAGCTTACATTACCGTATTTATGCGAATCTAATGCGCCATCGAATCTAATGCGCATCCCCATTTTAAAACTTTAAATAATAAAAAAATTGTTTGTCGGCGAATGTAATGCGCATCAATGATATGAGGAATTTATTGAATCTTATTTTATACAACAATGGATTTGTATATAAACTATTAACTAATGGTATGATAATTTTATTTAAATTTAGATACCATATTTTATACAACAGTGGATTTATACATGAAGTAGCAGAACATAGAATTAACCTATTAGTGGGCTATTGTCATGTGAAACAATCATTGTTAATTAGCACTACCGTATATACGGTACCTATCGTAAAATATGAACATTTCTATCTAGCTAAGTTTCTACAATCAGTGATTAATAGTAACCGTCTTTATTCACTAATGTTTTCATCACTGGAATCCTCGCAGCTCTCTTCGTCAGAAGCAGATTCATTTCTTCTTTCCTCATCATCGCCATCGTCATCCTCGGCGTTCCAGAGCACGACATCGTCACTACCATTCAATGAATTTGAAATGCAGCATTTCTTGAAAGATTTCAAAATCATTGGTGCTTCGATACTTTTCCAAGCAGCAGAAACCCAGTGTGCAACAATGTGCGGTGCAGCACGCTTAATTTTTCCTGTCGGAGTCAATACACGGTTTGGCTCACAAAACCATTCTTCGTACTCCGCCTGAACGTACCCCTTAAAAGGTTTATTTATACTAACGTCCAGGGGTTGTAACACAGACGTCATCCCTCCAGGAATGATAACAAGATCACTGCCTAGGCTGTGCATCTTCTTTTTTACGTCGTCGGTGAGATGACCACGAAATGCGTCCAGACAAAGCATTGATGGTGGATTAGAGAGCCCACCGGGACGGCGTTTCCATACATTTCGGAGCCAATCAAGCATTAATGATTCCGTCATCCACCCCTTCTCTTGGTTTCGAATCAGGACATCATCTGGGAACAGCTTTTCATTCTTAGGGGTTTTAGGGCATGTTTTCCATTTGAAGATTAAGAAAGGGAGAAAGTTTGCACCCGTCTGCTGTTATTGCCATTAGCATTGCCTGCTGTTATTCTACTGTTATGCATTGTTTTTCACATCCCGAAGTTTTGATGATAACTTCCTTAGTCCCCTTCTCCGTAATGGTGTAGTTACAAGGCATATCAAACCAAATTGGCCGTCTTCGTCAGCGTTTGCCAATTTGCCCCATTGAAAAATTCTTTTTCCTTCCTGAAGTGTGATGAACATACCACTGAAATGTTAGTAGTTTTTTCCCTCAAAATCTGCAGGAAGCTTTTGGCATATTGTTGTACGGCGTCTTAGAGATAAACCCATCCGCTTCATAAACCGATCCACCCATCCACGGCTAGCCTTAAACTCTTGTTTCGGTATTCCAAGAACTTCAGCCTCCTCTTTTGCTTTATTTCTTATGGTGTCACTAGTCACAGGTTGTCCATTCTTTCTCCTTTCACGTACAAATTCCAAAACTTTTTCTTCAATTTTAGGGTGTCTTCCTTTGCAAGGGCCAGTGAATTTCTTTCTACTAGCTTTAGTTGCAAACAGTTCCAATTTCTGTTGCCGCCACAAGCGAACATTGCTCTCAGCTACGTTGAACTCTCTCCCTGTCTTTCTATTGTCATTTTTTTCAGCATAAAGAATTACTTTACGTTTGAAAGTAGTGTCATATGACATTCTTCTCTGTTTGCCCTCCATTTCGTGACTACGTACTCTGCAGTTTGTATCCTCTATGCAATAATGTGTCAACGATAAATGTAGTCGAGAAATTTGGTTGAGGTCATCGGCGAACTTTGCACTCAAATCTAATGCGGCATCGAATCTAATGCTCACCCCAATTTTGAATACTACATTTGGCCAAAAACGATGCGCATTAGATTCGCGTAAATATGGTATATAAAACTGTGAATAACTTTAGAGTTCATTTTCTTAATAAAAAACAAAAAAAAATATATATAAAAGAGCACTTTTCCTTTTAAAAACATTTTGCTTAAGTTATGATCTTTGTGATAATGAAACAATGAATAGAAAATATGAGATATAATTTTAATAAATATATTAGTATAAGTATAATAATAAAAATATAAGTAAAACTTTTATTGATTCCTGATAGGTGTTGGTACTTCTCCCAGTACTAAATTATGGTACTTGCAGAAAATCCCATCAACCACAAGAGACGGCGCCAAACCAAAAAAATCAGTTTACTAAATACAAGAAAAAATTTTCTATTCTTATTTTTATAATAGAGTATTAATAATAATAATATAAATTATAATAGACTATTAATAATTATTTTTATTATAGAATATCAGAATATATAATTATTCGGTACTTTTCCGTTTCGCCGGCGCAAGCGATAAAGACGCCATTAATGGTACACCGATGCCAAACGGAATATTCTCGCTGGTAACCTTTTACGCCTCATTCAAATAGTTCAGTTTTATGTCTAAGGCCATTTTCGGCAATTAAATCAATTAGGATGCAATCACAGCGCTTACCCGAAGCCGAAAATATAGAAAAGGTAAAGTCAAGGGTTAAATTCATCAATTCTAATGAGAATGCATTAGCGAAGTAAAGCACTGCAGTTTTACATAATTTCTGAGTAAGATATTCGTACGAATTGAAGTATTTCTTGCATTTAAACTTGTGTTCCAAATTAAGATTTAACTTGAAATTAATGTAGATAATTACTGAGAGCATTATATTTTTGTAGAGTAGTATACGTTAGATGAGATCGCTTGGGGTCACGTGATATGCACCGGCGAAACAGGATGTTGAACCATGAAAGCATAGTAAATTCTTAAATTAATGTCTTTTTATAAATTTATTGTCTTTATTTATTGGCTTTTTATAAAATTTTAAGCGATATTAAAATGTTTATGCCTTCAAAAAAAGAATTCTGAGGACTAACATTTTTTAATATTTTTTGTGTGTATAATGTATGTTGTCGCCAATAAAGTCTGCTTGGCGAGATTTGCGCCGGCGAAACGGAAAAGTACCAATTATTCTTAGAATAATAACTAACACGTGTAATTGAGGTTACACCAAACCCAGCGTGTTTAAAGAAGACTTTTCCATTTTTGGCAAAAAATCGCGTAGTTTGGTGCCTTTTCTTTAATAGGCAAAAATTGTCGACGGGATTTTCCATAAATACCTAAATTACAAATAGAACTTTAGGTTTCAAACTAGATTTGTGATATGCTTTGGAATGCTATAGTTTCACATAAATAAGTAAATTTGAATGCAATTCATTATTTGGTAAGTAAGGATGGTGAAGTATTTGTAGACATTAAAAAGTATCAGAGTGTGAAATAAAATTCTTTGGTACTTCACATTCTAAAATCTAAATACAGAGAAACCTCTCTAAGATGATCACCCATAGCCTCAGATGATTTTGCAAAGGTACTCATTTTAAAGAACATGATTATGAATATTCAATACCATAATTTAATTTTGTTCTCAGATATACTGTTTGCTTTGAGATGATGGCAACCTCCTCTGAAAGCACACACATGAAATGCATGCATGCATGTATTCCATGTGAATGCTATCATTGAAATTTCAAAAATAATTTTTAAAAATATATCTGTAGTTTTAAATTTTAATGATGTAACTCGAAGCATCTTTTTTATCAATTAAATATGTTATTAAAATATGAAGTTTATTGAGTACAATTATTAATTTGGTAAATATGTTTTTTAGTTGATTTACGTGAAGTAAAAGAAGTTCGAATAGGCAAAAACTCGAAAGCTTTTGAGCGCTGGCCAGATGAAACTAGGAAATATCAAAACAATGAGTGTTTTCTTGTTTTGTATGGCTCTGGATTTACTTTAAAGGCTTTATCGTGTGTTGGTAAGTTACCTTGTTATGTTAGTTCTAAAGGTTAAGTATGTTGGAATGTTTTATTTGTTACATTAAAATACAAATTAGCATGTAATCTTACCATAAAAATTCAAGCCTTTCATTTATTTTTGCCTAAGGATGATGCACAAGTAAGTACGAGGTGCTGCTAATAAAACAGAAAAAAATGGCACTCTCTGATATCCTGCAGAATTGCCTGCAAGTCCCTCCTGTATAACCTTCTTGTAAAATCATTTGTCATTTTCATCTAGTTTTTCACCAAGCTAATGTGAAAAATAGTAGCCAGTTTATAAAATGGTGGCTCACTGAAAATTATATGAATCAGCAATGAATTAATGGAATGGAAAACAAAAGTGAGATCCATGATGAAGCATTGAAAATTATATAAAACAAACACCCGTAATGAAACACTGAAAACTGTGTAAAACAGCAATAAATTAACTAAATAAAAAATGCAACAAACCTCTGTAATGAAATACTTTCTTTTCCTCCGGTTTTCAGCTTATACTGTCATGCACACAGCAATCTGTTTTAACTTTAGAAAAAAGAGAGAGAGAAAGAATTGCAGAATTCTTGGCATTGCCAAATTACTTCAACCTGTTTTAACTTACAAAAATCAATGAACTGCAGAATTCTCAGCATCGTACTGCAACTTGGCACTATCAACCTGTTTTAACTTAATCAGAGAATTGCACAAATTCAAAAAAAGTTATTAGTTCTTTTTAAAAAAATTAGAGAATTGCTCAAACTCAGAAAAGTTATTATCACTAAAAAATCAGAGAATTGCACTTATTCAGAAAAGCTATTTTCACAGTCATTATAAAATTCAATTTCACGGAATGTGCATTCTCACACCTCTATTACTAGGCAAAATGTATCCCATGGATTTCTGGAAAAATGCAACATTTTCATTAGTACTCCACAGTGGCATTATGATTCATTACAAGAAAAGAAAAAAAAAAAAAAAAAAAAAAAAACTTCATACTACATTTGTAACAAGCAGAAACTGCAAACGTGACCCTCGAATTTAAAAACCAAGCTTATTATGCTCTGGCATACCATGCACACAATCATTAGTGAGTTAGCAGATAAATAAAAACTCAGTGGCACAACAGTCCTAGTGGGCCATGGCCTGCAGTGTCCCAAAATCTGCTTTCTTGACCTTGGGCAATTTATGCAATTTTTCTTTAAAATTAGACAGCTGTCCACTGTTAAAAGATAAAAATTGATATATAATTTATGCTGTCTTATTTTATTTTCAGTTTGATTGCAAGTTGCATGACGAAGAGATTTTATTTGTGTATTTTTTCTTTGTAATTAATACATATCAAAATATATTGACAACAAAAAACAGACTAGAGGAACAGACTGTTAATAACAATGGAGAGATTTTAATGTACTATTGACAAAAATGCAGCCAAAATTTTCATTAAATGTGTTATTTTTAACATTTTCATTCGATGCTGTGTAATTCCATTTTTATCGGCTACTTTATCTGAATAAATAGTTTTAAAATGTTAATATTTTGGTACATACAGTGGATGGACAAAAATATGGAAACACCTTGTGAAATGCATGTTTGAAAAGAAAGATTGATTTTAATGAAATATGTAGGTGGCGCTGGCATTTTTGACTACTGACGCCACAACTTTGTAAATGTGCTAAACAGTTCAGTTGTTGTCGGAGTACTGTTATGTGAGGTTGTCATTGCATTATGTCAGAGTTAACAGACTTTGAATGTGGGCAAATTGTTGGAGCACGTATGGTAGGTGCTTCCGTAAGCAAGGTAGCCGAGATGTTTAGTGTTTCAAGAGGTACTGTATCGAAGATTTATTCCGCATATTTGAAAAGCGGAAAAACATCGTCTGCTAAATCACAGCGCGGACGAAAGTGTGTCCTGAGTGATCGTGACAGATGATCATTAAGGGCAATTGTGACGAAAAATAAGAAGACCACAGCTGCAAAAGTTACTGCTGAAATGAATGTTGTATTACTGAACCCTGTGAGTACCAAAACAATTAGAAGGGAGCTTCATAAACAGGGAATTGCTGGCCGTGCTGCAATTGAGAAGCCACTCATCAGTGATGCTAATGTCCGTAACAGGAAAAGGTGGTGTTTAAGTCATAAAGCCTGGACTATAGCGCAGTGGAAGCGAGTAGTATGCTCTGACGAGTCTTCTTTCACATTGTTTCCCACTTCTGGCCGAGTTTACGTCTGGAGAACGCCATCTCAAGCCTATAATACAGACTGCTTGTTGCCAAGAGTGAAACATGGCGGGGGTTCTGTTATGGTTTGGGCAGCCATATCGTGGTTCTCTGCTAGCCCCATGATAACTGTGTCAGGGTACATGACTGCCAAGACTTAACATTTAACGGCCAAACGTGAACATTTTGGCCGATCAAGCTCATCCCATGGTACAAACTTTGTTCCCCGATGGTGATGGTGTCTTCCAAGACGACAAAGCCCCTGTTCACACAGCTCACATTGTCCAGGACTGGTTTTCTGAGCACGAGGATGAGTTGTCCCATCTCCCCTGGCCACCACAGTCTCCAGACCTGAATATTATCGAACCTTTGTGGTCTACATTGGAACGGAAAGTGCGTTCTCGTTATCCACCGCCAACATCGTTATCTGAACTTGCCACCGTTTTGCAGGAAGAATGGTATAATATTCCTTGGCAAACATACAGGAACTGTATTTATCCATTCTGAGAAGACTGCAAGCTGTTTTGGATGCCAACAGGTTTCCTACACCATATTAAGCAAAGAAACATGTTTTTTTAAAGGTGTTTCCATATTTTTGTCCAACCCCTGTACATATTAGCTTCTCGACCATGAAAGTTGGCTGCCATCAAACTGTGAAAGATGGTGGAAATCCTGCCAAAGCTGCACCAAGTATTTCCGTAGAATTCTGAAGGAACTGACATCTTTCTGTTTATTAAACAAACAATATTAACCATTTTCATTTTTGCACTTTATAAAAAGGTTTTCATTCATTTCTACTATTTTGTTAGCCCTTCTGATTTTACCAGAAGTTCTGTTTAGAACTTTTAAGTGTACAAACTTCCCACAGGTAATTGTTCCAATCTGTTACTGTTTTATCAGTCATATCCAGCTGACCATATCTTGTTCATTAATACATACTTTTTTCAATAGCTGGATCACACAACTTTGAAAATAATCCAGTGCTAGTTGTTCTTTTGAAAGCAGATTAAAGGCCTCAAATTTTACATTTCTTACAAAATGCAAGGGGAAAATATACCAGTAACAGTTAATTTATATGTTTTTTTTTAAAGTGTTATCAAGGATTAATTACAGCTACCTGAGATGAAAGTGTAGACATTAGGAGTTTGTGCTGTTACATCATGCTCATCCATAATTGGAACGAAAATGCACTCTTTGACAGCAGTTTTATGGTGGATGGGATAGTACATTAAGTATCAGTTTTTTAAATCTTTTATTTTCGATCTAATTTCTGTGATTTAAAAGCTAAACTTGCAAATACACTTTAAATTTTGATAACAGAGCAAGTTTACAAAAAGGAAAGTGTACTTTGAAAATGGACAGTGAGCTAAAAAGTTCTGACATATGGGTACTAACTCAGCATTATCAGATTGAATCTTGGTACTATGAGTAAGCCTTTAAATGTTATGTTTCCTTTCAAATGCTATTTTATTTTGAAAGAAAATTTATTCATGAATAATATTTTTTAGAGAATAGCATAACAAATAAAACATTATAAAAATTTCATGCTAAAAGCAGTTTATCATTTATATTAACCTAATTTAATTTTTCCATAAATTTCAAAGCCCACCAGCGGCCGGCGGTAAAGTCGCTGAAAACTGGTAGTTCGGTCCGAGGTTCGAATCCCGCGAACGGGCTGGCTGCATGGGTGTTTTTGTGGTTTTTCCCCATGTGTAACGTGTATACGAGCCAGTTTCCCTTAGAAAGTCCTCGAAAGTTCAAAGGTATCCCTCCTCTTAGGCAGATAGCCCTAGTGTGCTTTGCCATAATTAAATACACCACCACACCACACCACAAATTTCAAAATATAAAATACTGACCGCAGGTATATTTAATAAATGATGATTTATCATGGTTTATTTTTATTTTATTTATTTATTTTTTTGAGTACATTTTCTTTAAATTCTTCAAAGAAAAACATAATTCAGTTAATCATCGTAAAATTGTCTTTATCTGCATCATGAGGAAATTTTTTGTAAAAGTAATGTCAAAAGTATATTTAAATCATTGTGACTAAATAAAGATACTGGCAGCAGCAGGATTCACTCTGAGGGTTTTGAATTAACAGCTGTATATAATATGACTGTGTTAATGATGATTACTAGATAGATGGGAATTTAAAAACTTGGTTGTCCCACTGACTGAAAATGCAGTCTCGTGTTTAAAGTTTCTGAATATGCAGAATTTAGGCAAAATTTGGTGAACAAAAGTTTTGTGCTCTTATTTGTCAGACGTTTTGAAGTAATTTGTCTCTCTTTGTTTTTAACACCTACATCGATCGGTGTTTTTCAGTGTAATGCTATTCCAACTCAGTTGAAAGTAGAATTAAGGGGAGTGATTTTCTATGGTAGGAAGCCTTGATATAGTGGCTGGATTCCTTAGCATACATACTTGATAATACCTCACTGGACTTTTTTTTTTTTTTTTGCTTGGGACTTTGTAAAAGGCAAACTCTGTGCTGCAATGTTTCAATGATTCTTATCTTAATTATGATTCTTATGCTTAAATTCAGATTTTCATTCATGCTCCAGGCAGCTTGGCATGAGACTGAGTATCATCTAGGAATTCTTTGTATCACTTGGGTGACATACAGAACTGTATTACATTTAGTAATTATCTTGATGTGTTGTTTTTCTGAAATCTGTTTCCGTTCTGAGTTAGGAGGGGAACAGATTACTGATACCTGCTTTTTATACTGCGTGTTGCTTTATAGTTATGAGATATTTTTTATTAGGGCACTCTGTATCATTCTGGTAAAACTGCCAGATTGCTTTTCTTATGCTACATAATCTGCATGTTCGGTGAGATTTAATTTGTCGAATTAACAGTATCGTTTAAAACAGAATAGAAGTGATCACATACACATATTTTATGCAAATAATATTCTAAAAAGAAAGTGGTCAAGCTTGTAAACAGACAAAAGTTATTCAGGAAGTAAAGTCTGGGAAATAATAATTCCTGCACCTGACAGATAATGCTAATCTGCCTGTATGGTATCGTGTCTTCAATGACTAAAGAGTGCATCATAACAAAAACATTTCATGGTGAAATGCTGACATGTTTACATCTTGCATTGTAGATGTTTAAGACTACAGAAGGTCATGCCTACTGTGCAATTTGTTTCATAATTCGCTTTTTGAATGCAAGGAATATGTGATTATGTAATATCCATAAGCAAATCTGTGAGGTGTAGAGCGATACAACTATGAATTGAGGGAAAGATTAAAAGATGAGTTCGATTGGGCATTTCCTCCAGCATGAAGAAGTAGCTGGCCATCTGCTGTGAATGCTGAACTGGTTCATTACGTTTATGCAAAAATTCATGCAAATAGATGTTTCATATCTCCAGTCTTTTATTGGTGTTTCTCGAAGTTTTGTGTACCGTTCTGTACGAAATTGTTACTGAAAGATTGGGCTACTGAAAAGTATGTTCGTGGTGGGTACCAAAAATGTTTGCACAGGAGCATAAAGGTGAACATTTTGCTGCTGCTTTGATCTTTGAGCCAATACAATACCAAAGAAGACAAACTGTTGAACCACATTGTCACTGGTGATAAGACTTGGATTTCCTATATCACACTATCATTGAAACAGTCATCAATAGAATGGAAATACCCCATCCTGCCAATATAGAAGATATTAGATGTATAGACCATTTATAAATGCAAAATCATGTTCATCATTTTCTGAGACAGAAAAGGTATATTGGTGGTTTCACATACATAGACAAAACTCAATGCTCTCTTATGGTGCAATGCTGAAAAACCTGTGACCTGCCATTCAAAACAAGATATGCGAGCTTGTTTAGTGATAGTGTGATTTCCTTGCAATGAAAGGCCACATCGTGTTCATGTGACTCAATCTCATTGAGTCCTTAAGTTTAGAACAAATAATTCATCTGCTGTGTAGCCCTGACTGACATCAAGTGACTTTTACCTCTTCTTGCACTTGAAGCGATTCTTGAGGAGCCCGTATTTTGATGACAATGAAGAAGTGAAAGATGCCATAACATTCTGTCTAACCTCATAGGTGGCCTTCTTCTATCGTGCTGGAATAGAAAACCTCGTTCCTCGATGCGATAAATACCTTAATGTGCTGGGTAACTACATCGAAAAGTAATGTTATGTTTTTAAATCATTATTAAATATGCATCTTTGTTCATATCTGTCTGTAATTTTTTACATAGTAATGGAACTTACTTTCGGAACAACCCTTGTATGTAATGCACTGTGACAACTACTTTCCAATGTTCAATTTTTATATGCTCATAATGTCTATCAAAATCAGTTTAAAGGAAGTATAATATTTGTAGTGAGTTTACTACTTAATTTTTGTTATATTGCATTAACAATTAGTATAAGTTCAAAATTTTATATATATATATTTTAGCTAAAAAAGATGAATGTGAACTGTGGGTTAAAGGTATCCGCCATCTTGTTGCAGAAAGCAAAAATGCACCATATCCTTTGCTGGTTGAGCGTTGGCTTCGAAAGGAATATTACAGCATGGAAAACCTAAGAGGAGTGTATGTAATTTTATGCTTTAGATTTTATTGAATAGTAATAACTTTTATTCTTCTTCAGTCTGCTAAATGTATGTTGTCGTTTTAATGATTTGTCAGATTTCTGTAATTAACGCTGTAATGAAACTATAAATGATTCATTGTATGATTATTTTGCAAATTAATAATAATTATGCTGGGATCTGCTTGTTCAGAAAGACTTCAAAACCATGTATACAGCATATATGTCATTAGTATTTGAGCTAAGAAGTTCTTGTAAGAACTGCACACTTTTTATAGTTTTCTACAGTTATGTTTTTCACATTTGCTTGCTAATGTAAAATTGCAAGAAATTTCTTTGAATATTTTAAGTTATGCTGATACCTGAATGAGAATATATTAAATGCTAATGTCTCTAGATAAGTTTATTTAACAAGAATGCTATTTTAAATACTTGTGAAGTTACTTCTCACTGAGGTATTCTCTCTCCCCTCCTCCAATTTCTATAAATTTGTTTTAAAAATGTGATCTTTGCATGTATAGTTTTAATTTTTCAAACCACTTATTTATAAGATTTTTCTAAATATTCAACTCAACAAAATTTAGAAAATAAGTTTATAATTCAGTGTGCCTGCCATTCTTTTATTTTTATTCAGTATGGATGTTGGTAAAGAAAGCAGTATTTCATTGTAACTGGTACAGTCAAAAGTCGTTAATCCGGACTCGTCGGAACTTTGGCGATTCCAGATTATCGATTTTTCCGGATTATAGATCAGTTTAAATCTGGTAAGGTAACATGCAGAAATTATAAAATTAAAAATATGAAACTGTAATTTATGAAATAAAGAACAATTTTGATCTAAAGGGTATCAAAGTTACCAAAAAAAAAAAAAAAAAAAAGCTTAATATTATTTGTTTACTTATTAAAATTTCTTCAATGTAAGTTTTAAGTTGCTCGTTTTATTGATAATACTTTCTCTTAATTCTATAACAGACATAATTTTTCTTCAGGTACAAATTCCGCTGTTCAAATCCTATAATTGCGGTGTCGAGAATACCGACTAATTTGTCAGTCAATTTTCGTTTCAATAACCTCTGGTCACTTTCTTCACTATCGGAAGCGTTTAATGACGAGGAATTGATTTAAATCATATCAAAGATGGAGTACATCGATGAATACTACATTTAGTAAGGAATTTAAAGCCAATAAAAAAAAAACTGCTGAAGATAAGGATAGTGCTGACAGATCACTTCCAATTCATTGTGCGCTGCGGCGTCCCCCCTCCGCTGCAGAGCAGCCGAAATTGATAAACAGATTTGGAATGGTTAGGAAATGAAGGATATGCCTACCTTTTTGCAGCAATGCCACCTTTTGTTTAATGGACTTCAAAACATACTTTCGCTGTGTAGATCCTTTACATATTAGTAAATATATGTTCGGAATTCTATTTGACATAATTGTAAAGTTCAAGCTTACTTTATAAAATTGCTCTAACAGTCTGCAAAAATAAGCCGGATCCAATTCGAAGATTAAGGAAAAACGCAATCTGCAACATTAACTGAATTAGATAATTTAAGCTTAGCGTAGACGTGTGTTATACATTAAATGCGCATGCGTAAATGTATTATATGCTTACGCACATGCATATTTGCAGCTATAAAGGTCTTACGTGCATGCGTCAAAGCGACGTATGTGCAGAAAGTTTCTAGCTTTGAGGTCCGGATTATAGATCATTCTGGATTATGGGTGTCCGAATTAACGACTTTTGACTGTATATGAATATATATGTACCAACTTTTGTTTTGTGTGTATGTGTGTGGATGTTAAAGTGCCAGAGAAACTGGTTGAGATGGAACTATGCAAAATTCAAAGCCATGCCATCTATGCACATCATTGGTTGTTATCTACTAATGGGTATGTGAGACATTAGATTTCTGTGAAAGAATTTTATGGCGTTTTCTGCTATGAGAATGGGAAATTATTATAATTTAAGATATTTTTAATGTAATTTAATAGTTGGAACTCATAAGGTAATATCACAATAATTTGGAAGTTGAAATGAAGTTTACATTTTCATGTAGGATCATTTGAAGAATATGCATGACAGCTGTAATTCTGACAAAACATCAAATTTAATGACAGCAAAGTGGCCCCAAAAGGCGTGGAGGTAACATGACTGGCATTGGTTAGCAAGAATCATTTCTTAACCGTTTCACGACAGGAAGTGCAAACGTGCTTGTTGTTGAGGTCGGCAGTCTCTTTTATGAGTATCTGTCCAGGGTCGGAGGGTTTTTTGTTATAAGGTCGGAGGGTTTATGTTAAGCCTAAATCCAGGAAATTACCGAAATATCATATTGTTTAATAATGTTCTATAGAATATTTAAAGGGCATATGTTTATATTATATTTTTATAGACACTTTATTTACGTAAGTTATTTCTTGTTTAAATATATATTTGACACATTTAATTTTCATTATTTACTTACTATTTAATGACTTTTAACATTATATATCTGAAAACTAAATATGTTACTTATTCTGTTTTTCATATGGAAAAGTTTTAAAACTGGGATCTACACACAGTCCTATGTTATAGTCCTTGCACTCGTAATAACTCATTTGCCATTCTGGAGGATTTTTCGAGGAATGTGAACAAACGAATTGTCTTCACCTCACTTTCTACTTTCTTATCAGTTTCATTTGAACAATGTTTTGGGAAATGTCTTTCAGTTAATCTGAGCGGATTTAATGATTCTGCTGATTTTGGTATGATATTAACATTGGTGGTTTTAGAGGAATACTGAGAAATAATATGATTGATTAAATTAAAGTGATAATTAAGGAGAGGAAGATTGTTCTTACTTTTTTTGTTGAGACAAATATTGTCATTAAATACAGACATATCCATCATAAAGCATGCCATTTGGAAACATTCCTTTCCCCTTATGTTTATATAATAATCACGTGTATGTGAGTCATGCTACTCTCATTTTGAGTAGAAGGTCAAATCTACATGTATCTGAAACCATATGGACATACAATGCCGTCTTGAACATACAGTGCCATTGGGGGTGAACGAGAAAACGCTCTAGCACGGCAGCGCGTCGGCCGGGAAATGAGTGCGTTCTTTGCTGGCACGTATACATGACGGCTGGCTCGAAAGTGTTAAGAGAGATATGCTACACTGCCTAAAGTAATGTGAGAATTTAATGTTGAGACTTTACCAAACATCTTTCTGAGAACTGTTTCATCTATGATACAGGCTTTAGACCTGACATCAAGCCTGGGTCCCCTTCATGAATGCATGGCTCAGATTTAGGATACAGGGTTGTCTGGGCTTGGAAGTACTATCACTGGATATGAATAGCCTGGTCTATGTCTTCTATGGCTGTGAGGCAAGCTTTGCCAGCTGTATAAAGTATTGTTTTGTTGGAATAGAGTACTGAACAGACATTCACTAATGCCAGGGCTATTGGTTGAAGGACTTCAATAAAATAGCACTGGGCTGTCTAAAACCTGTGATGAAGCTTGTGATGATTGAGCCTTGTTGATTTGCATGAAATTTTAATCCATACTATGACACCCATCCATCTGAACATATGATACAGGCTATTGCAGTCTGTAGTGTCAGAAGCAGTCATCAAAACAGTCTGCAGTCTTGTTAATATTGTGGTATGGAGTTACTGGCAAACAGCATTAAGAGGCACAGAATGTTGCAGGAATGGGATCACCATGTGCTGAATGTTCACAATCATGGCACGTGAAACAGTTTGGGTATGTCAAACAGTTCTTCAAACTTTCCTCTTTGTTATCTGTAGATCTTCCCCAGCTTGCATTTCACGAGTGCATACCTTCCCTGAAACAACTTCGCATCAACAGCATGCATGATTAATATTTATGCAACCATAATATTATAATTAATATTTATGCATGCTGTATTATGAAATGAGCCCCTGCTTCCGTATAGTCCTATTATGCAGTCCTTCTCATCCAATTATATATATTGTTGAATTCATCTTGCAGCCATAGTGCACTTTAAACTGACAGTTTAAATGCAACAACACTAATTTAAATAAGGCTTGGGATGACACTTCTTAGTGCAGCTGATATAGTTATATGCTTCATCCTTGTTGAAGTCATTTTCATTGGTGAGTGTGAAACTTGAAATAGTTGCACATAACAGTGTACCTCATGTGTGAAAAAAATTACTATAAGAGCAAGAAATGTGTTTAGAATTGGCTTGATGTCATAGTTTTAATGAAGATGCTGATATTATTTGTGTAGTTTTAAATTGCATTAGAATGTTGATTTAAAAAAATTATACCAAAACACAAAGCTATCTACCTTTTATTGAGATTTTTCTGATGCAATTTACTATTCTATGTATGTTTCCATACCAAAAGGGGCGCCATATGTTTAGTATAAGTGATTTTGACCAACTTGATGTTGGTGATGGGAGGGGAGGCAGTATGACATTGCCTGTTCCTTTCTGTACTTACTGAAGTCTTTTTCTGTGCATAAATGTATGTATTTTTACGAGGGAGAGGGAAATTGAAGCAGTTTGCTGAACATTTTGTTAATGTGTTTATTTTTTCTTTTACAGGATTACTATTAAAGATCTGAAAGCATTTTTACCAAAGATAAATTTGAAATTACCTACTAATCGTCTTAAAGAATATTTTCAGGTAGGTGATAAATTCAGTATGCATGTGAAAGATAAAAAGTAGGCCAAAAAAATCTAATTTTAAGTTGCAATTCCCCTAGTTCTCCTTTTTAATTTGGTTATTTCCCCTTTCCACTCTAAAAATAGTGCCTGCTTGTAAAAATTGTTCTAAACTGCATCATTTCAAAATTAATCCTTCTGTCATAACTCTTGAATAATACTTTAGCCAATCATAATATTAAAATTTTGCAAGCTGAAACTTAAAATTTGCCAGCAAGAGGAGTTGAACTGTAATTTTACCAAATCTTCATTTGGAAACAGGTATTCTTCTCTCACTTATGTCAACATGTCGTTGTTTTCTCTTCTTTTCTCAAATATGGTGTGATAAAGATGTTAAGAAAAGTCACACATTTAACTGATTAAAAACAGGTGTTCATATAGCACTAAATTATATAGCACTATCCATGCTACCATTTTTATGCACTGCCACTCCATCATCATGTACACCTTGCACAAAAAAAGGAGGACAATTCTATACCTCTCATTCTACTGGGCCAATTGATGAAATTTAATTTGCATTTTTGATGTATTGAAAACATGATTTAGGATATATATTAGATTTATATAAACCATTGTTCTAACATACCTCTTTTAACACAAAATTGGACTTTTTCTGAATAACATCTCAATTTTTCCATCTTATTTTGATTCTACACCTCAAATTATGCTTATGTATTAAATTTTGTAAAATTTGGTGAAAACCTTACTGAGAAGTTTTTAAATTTACCTTGGCACACCCTTTCTCAGTTTGTGCCAAGAATTGGCAAAATTCTTAATATATGATAACCAAATTTTCTTTCTTTTTCACTGTGTATGAGCAGGATAAAAGGTGCATCCTTCATTCTTTCAAGTAATTTTAACAAGGTACATAAACCATACTTGGCATTATTATCACTAATACCAATGCCAAATTTCAAAATGCACCAGTATATAAATTCACATATATTTTCAGAAACTTTGAATAAAAAAATTGCGATTTTTTTTGCAGGTGTGCCTAGAAATACATCTACTTTAAGATGTTTGTAAAAATTTTATAGGTTCAAACATTTTATCAAAAATTTATAAAGACTACTAAAAAAGTAAAAAAAAATAAAAATAGCTGCGAATTTTGCATTGAATCTAAATTTCGAATTGTGAAAGAAGAAATCATGTAAGTTTAATTTTTTTAAAAACAGATACTGATAAATATATATCAGATTCATTGAATTTAAATTTCGAATTGTGAAAGAAGACATCATGTAAATTTAATAAATAAATAAATAAAATAAAATCTCAAAGCTTTCAGATCTTAAATTACGTCCAAAGGGGCATTTTTTTTTAAAGTTTTGTGTGTTACCTTTATTTATTAAACATCATGTTCTTTCCTCTTAATCCATAAAATTCAGTTCAACAGCAATATCGCAAAATAATTTTAAAATGAACGTGTCTTTAGAATTTCCGATACACAGTTCCACGTGCTGGAGATAAAAAGGTTCCCCTCCCCTTGTAGAGTGTTGCCATTGCTCGCTTTTAAATCGTTGAGTTTGTTAACCAGAAATTCATTAAAATTTTACAAAATAGGAAATCGATAATAAAACAAATTCCAAATTTCGGATTTGGGCTTTCAGATGCCCATATTCGCAGTAGGACTAAGTCATTTGCAGTAAGTCATTCAAAATTGGATGGCTGTAGGTACCATTGTTTTACCACAATGAAAGAAACACACATACATTTATGCATTATTTAATTTCTTCAAATATAATACAGGGCGATAGTATTTGGTTGCGACGATTTGAAAAGTGAGATAGCCTTCTAAAGTTTTTAATGCAAAATCACAAAACAAAAACGATACTTTCTTCAGGGACAAAGCCCCTTTGGACTAAAAAAAGAGATATTGATAAATATATGCCAGATTCAATTAACATTTAGGAGCTAAAATTTAAGTCATAGAATTTAAATATGGAAAAAAAATGGTATGCCATTTCAGGAAAAGTCTGATTTTGTGTCAGAATACCTACGTTGAACAATGCTATATAGAAATTTAATATATATCCTAAGTCGCTGTGTCGGGACTTGAAAAATGGAAGTTAAATTTTGTCAGTCGGCCCAGTAGTACAGAAGGTATAGAACTGTCCCTTTTTATTTGTGCAAGGTGTACTTATGTTACCCACCATCAAAAATAATTGCTATTAGAACACGCATACATACACATTATATATATACGAGGGCCATCCAGGAAGTAGATTACGTTTGTCGGTCCGCAGGGGCGGGGCTGCGCGGCCTCTGGGGTCAGAGAGTTGCCGCTCAGTCTGCATATAGCCGTGCTAGTGAGAGGTGTGCTGTGCTCCGTTCAGATATGTGCGGTTTGAAATGTCTGCGTATTGAAATCCGTGAGCTGCGGGTGCGCTCGTAATCGGTTTCTGACTGCAAAAACTGTAAACCGATAGAAATCTATCGGAAGCTTCGTGAAGGTATGGGGACAACATATACGAAGGGAGTGCGTCAGGGTCATAATTCAAAATGGCCGAACAAGTTCACGCGAAGATCGAAGTGGAGACCAGATAGTGACCGCCGAACTTTCGAAAAGCGGCTAAAGTCCGTGAAAATCGAAATTTCACAATAACGGAACTTTCTTGAGTTTTCCACAAATTCGCGACGTGTGACGAATCATCAGCGAAACGCTGTTACCAAGTTTTTGCAAGATGGAAGGCAAGAAGAGGTCGAAGTGTTGAAGCAAGGCGGCAATTTTTCGACGAAGGAATTTCAAGCTCGTAACGCTAGATAAATGCCCTACATTGTATGGTGAGATGTAGAAAAGTAGTTCATAGTGGCTTTCCACTGTATATAATAAAATGTTCTTATCTTGTTTATTTTTATTCCAAACGTAATCGTTCTGGATAGCCTCATAGTGTGTGTGTGTGTAATTTAATGAATTAGAAGGTGAACACTGTCAGAGATATTGTCTAAACATACAGTTTTTAATATTCATCCTAATTAAAGTGTGGAAGAAGGACTAGACATCTTGAGGCACCTACTTCCATGTGTAAAATGAACACAGAGAAAAAAAAAAGAGCACCAGAAAAGCAAAACATTAGGCATAATGGCCACCCTTGTTTTATGGAACTGTAAGAGGTTCCACGAAAAGCTAGTTAACATCAAGAGACTTAAACAGTGTAACCCATCCTGTGTGTTTGGTATTGCAGAAGACTGTACTGAAACCAAAGAAAGAAGCTAAGCTAAGGAGGTTTTCATTCACCAGGAAAGACAAGTAGATGAGCATGTCAATGTAGGTGTAGGTGTCCTCACCTCACTTAGCTACCCCTCTAGCTCATTTCCTATAAGCTGTTGGGAGCTTTAAACTGTTGCCACCAAATGAATGTATCTTGGTTTCAGTTTGTTGTGTTTATTTGTCTTCAAATGATCCCATCAATCATAAGGCTTAGGGGATTTGATATAGCAGTAGGAGATTTTAAAGGTCATAGTCCACTCTGCGGAAGTAAGGACACAAATCCTCAAGGAGAGCAAATATCATTGAAGATCATTGCTTTTGTTTCTAGAATATGGACAGAATACCTAATTCCATGAGCTGCCAAGGACATTTCATGCTTGTGATCTTGCCATCTGTTCATCATCTCTCTTGCCTTTTTGGAGTTTCGGTGTTGGAAATGAGTCTTATGATGATGATCATTTCCCTATTTTAGCATCTCTCATTCGAGAAGAGTAAATCTCTTGTTGAGATCCCCTCATTTTATAACCGATAGGGCAGATTTGGAATCTTATTTCTCGGAAAGCTTACAGAAGAAATGGTACTAGTTGTGCATATTGATGATGCATTGAATGCCATTACTGATAATATGAGTGCAGTTACCACAGGAGAGTGTGCAGATTAGGCTTCTTGACATATTCCACTATCATGATAAAATAGATACTAATGAGTTATATATAGGCAGCCTCTTGAGCACAGCCATAAGTACAGCGATTAAATTCTTCTATACACATGTGTCCAAAGTAGTTGATCATGTTGGTCTGCAATCCATGTGGCTACCATTTATAATTAGCAGCTGCATGGATTGCAGACAATTGCATAGTGCCTGCTCAGTAGTGCTTCAGAATTAACTACTACAGTAGAAGTCCAGAAATCTGCAAAGCTTGGAACCAGAGGTTG